CGTGCATTTTGCATACCGATAGTCCATTGGCCAATCACGCTATTTTACCGAGATTTCGCCTAATAGTTTGGATGCAGCTATGGCGGGTGTGGCGCCAGGCGGGGTAAGCTTACTCTTCCGGACACCTGTTACCACTGTTTGTCGTGTATTTTGTACACGGTGAACGGTCCATATGCTGATTACACTATTTTGCCTTATTACACTATTTTGCCTTATTACACTATTTTGCCTATACCGTTTTTTTAGGACTTCGAATTTTGTCTAATGGTTTGGATTGTTCGTACTTGGTTTTATTTTATTTATACATATATTTTCACTAAATGTAATAACAACCATATGTATACTCATGAACAATCCTAAAATTTGTAGTACGATGCGTTAGCGGTTACTAAGCCAAATTGTGCAATAGTAATATTCCTATCATAAGTGATCTGGTGATATTTTGTTTTCACATAGAACCAACTATATTTACCAGATTATAAATCTTTTAAATTGTCAACCCATCACTCATTCAATTTAAGTATGTGAGATATGACATCTTTACAAAATGTGAACCCAATAATTAGTTAAAGATATAATATGGTCGCAGACACCATAGTATTACACATAAGTGAACCCACTAAATGTAATAACAACCATATGTATACTCATGAACAATCTTAACATTAGTGAATCCAATAAGTAATCTGCATATAACAACTATATAATATGTATAGTTATAACAACTGAATACCATAACCTGTATAGTTAAAACTACTAAAGACAAATATACAAACTGTCTAGTTTGCCCTCGATATGTATATAACTTAATTAAATCAACCTGTCCATAATATCATATCTAAGAGACCGGGCGTTAAACATGCTGTAGCTGTATTATGCTTGCAATCGACAAATTATTCATTGTAGAAATGTAGTTTCGATTAAAATATAGTAATTGCTGCTCTTAGAACCGTCGTATAAACCACTAGATGTAGTATAGTATTTTTAGTTTGTCTTCGTTGTATTTTATATAAATTTCATTTCTATGAAAGAGCTTATGATTAAGTATGTGTCATTTGATAACAGTATCCTATTTTTAACAACCCACATTTTTTAAAGTGTCAATTTATATTTTGCTTTTAATATTTGTTATTGTTTTACTTACTTTTGAAATTATTGTAGCATAAATTTTTAGCTTTATTTCAATCATGAACACGTCTTAGCAATTCCATATTTGTACAAAATATTTTAAATTGCCTTGGTTATGAGGGTGTGTTTTGAAATAATGAAGATTAATATAATAAACCTTTTACTTACTCTCTAATTATTTGCGGGTCCTATTTTTATACGCCCACATGGTCGTCACCCCTGTCCGTCCGCCCGGACATCTACAAATTGTTTGTGAACACTCTACAGGTCACAATTTTTATCCGATTTTGGCGAAACTTGAAATATAGGTTTATCTAACATAGATCCTTTCAATATTGACATGTATCGGACCAAAACCTCATGGATTATGACCCCTGATTAAACAAAAAATCATATTTTTAGCTTTTGAACACTCTAAAGGTCACAATGTTCATACGATTTTGATGATACTTGAAATGAATGTTTATAACTCAAAGATCTTGGTTCCTTTCGATATTCTTGCATATGGGATTGCAACTTCCTGAATTATAGTGAAACGTGACAATTTTCCATAAAATAAATAGAATATATTAAAAAAAAATGCCCAGTTCAATTGTATAAAGGGCACTGTTCCATTTACAGAATCCTCAACAATTTGAACCTATGAACTGCAAAAATCAAGATATTGGCAGAAGAGGTTGGAACATAACATTTGATTGTAATTCATATTTTATCAAGTTTTTTCTATTTTGTGTGACAATTTTTATACGCCCATATTTTCATGTGGACGTGTATTGTGGTCACCCCTGTCCGCCCACAATTTGTTTGTGGACACTCTACAGGTCACAATTATTATCCGATTTTGACGAAACTTGAAATATAGATCTATCTCCCAAAGATCTAGGTTCCTTTACATATTGGGATGTATCGAACCATAACTTCAAGGATTATGGCCCCTGATTCTACCAAAAATCACGTTTTTATCTTGTGGACACTTTAGAGATAACAATTTTCATCTGATTTTGATGAAACTTGGAATGCATGTTTATAACCCAAAGATCCTGGTTCCTTTCGATATTCGCGCACATCTGAATTATGACCCCTGAAAATCGGACCAGAACTTCCGGACAAAATGGCCACCCCTCGTACGCAAATAGTGTAAACATATGGTATTTCGAGGTTGTGGACTTTCTAGAGGTCACGATTTTCATCTGATTTTGATGAAACTTTACATGCATGTTTATAGCCTAACGATCTTTGTTCCTTTGTAGCACCATGGACCTTTCTGTCAGACATGGAGAGCGGGGGAACCAACTCCGTCACATCCTACGTACGACCCATGCATCTTTTCTTACTACATATTTTAGTAGCCTTGTGATTGTCTAGAATTTGTCTCTAGCTGTCTTTGCTTCCCCTTCGCGTTGTGTATTTACTTCTTACTGTTTTCTTACGGCGTTTGTCTTACCAGGAATAACAATGCAACAGTTCGTTTTTACATTTTATATATCATAGCTGCTTACATATGGTATAATGAATAATAGAATAAAGACATTCAAACCTCATCCATCCAGCAGTCTCGCTGGGCGAGTCTGCTGATAGGAACAATTACATCTTTTCCATTCCAGAATCTGTCTATTGTCTGGCAATTGCTCACAATAATTGGTCAAATAAGATGTAAATAATCAAAGAGATTGGTCAATTTAGGCTAATGACGTCAAACCCACCCTTATATGGTTTTACCGAAGAAATTTCCCATGAGATATCTGTTATCAACCTAGAATGCAATGTTTACCACATTATGACCCTTTTTGTCCCCCGCCTTTCGAAGAAAGCAGGGGACTATTAAAATGGGTTCGTCCGTCTGTCTGTCTGTCTGTCCGTCTGTCTGTCTGTCCGTCACACTTTTTGGGACACAATAACTCTCTTCCTAATTGAGCTAGAATGTTCAAACTTGGTGTATGTGTTTATTAGGTCAATGCCTTGATGGAGTTCGAAGATGAGCATTTTCCTCTTAGGGTAAGCAGAGATAAGCAATTTGATTGGTTGATGCTTTGGGACACGATAACTCTCTTCCTAATTGGGCTAGAATGTTCAAACTTGGTGTGTGTGTTGATTAGGTCAATGCCTTGATGGAGTTCGAAGATGAGCATTTTCCGCTTAGGGTAAGCAGAGATAAGCAATTTGATTGGTTGATGCTTTGGGACACGATAACTTTTAATTGAGCTAGAATGTTCAAACTTGGTGTATGTGTTTATTAGGTCAATGCCTTGATGGAGTTCGAAGATGAGCATTTTCCGCTTAGGGTAAGCAGAGATAAGCAATTTGATTGGTTGATACTTTGGGGCACGATAACTCTCTTCCTAATTGAGCTAGAATGTTCAAACTTGGTGTATGTGTTGATTAGGTCAATGCCTTGATGGAGTTCGAAGATGAGCATTTTCCGTCTAGGGTAAGCAGAGATAAGCAATTTGATTGGTTGATGCTTTGGGACACGATAACTTTAGTTCTAATTAAGTGAGATTGATGAAACTTGGTGTATAGATTTATTATATGAATACCTTAACTAAGTTCGATAATGAACATTTTTTGCTGAGGGTAAGCAGAGTGATAAGCAATTTGATTGGTAGAAACTTTGGAACACAATAACTCTCCTTCTAATTGAGGTAGAATGTTCAAACTTGGCATAGGTGTCTATTAGGTGAATGTTTAAACTTGATGTATATGTAGATGTTCATTAGGTGAATGTCTTGACTGAGTTCAATAATTAACATTTCGAGCTGAAGCTAAGCAGAGCTAATCGATTTCATTTGTCGATGGTTTGGGACAAGATAATCTTGATTCTATCTGATAGAGAGTGATGAAACTTAGTGAAAAAAATAAATGTGCGATTAATTAATATGTGTCATCTATTTATTTTGCAATTTCGGCGGGGGACATCAGCCTCACTGTTGGCTTGTTTTTATGTAGCCACCTGTCACTCATTATCTAACTTGATTTAAGTAAAAATATGTGAATGTACTAACTTGCCAGAGGTATTAATTAATACAATATAATGCTATCCTTAATTTAAAGAGCAAAAATTCTACAAAAAGTGTTACATCTTTCGATATTTGCCCATATCGGATCGTAACTTCCTAAATGATGTCCTGTGGTCCCCCTAGAGGTCACAATTTTTATCTGATTTAAAAAAAAAACGTGTGAATACATCACCGTTACACCCTGATGATCGTTGAGATCGAATTTTCTCTCTTGTTTATCATGATCTGGTAAGGTGCACATTGCGACAACTTGTTACTAATTCTAATATGTCTAATCCGATTACAGAAGGTAAAACAACATATATACATCAAAGGTTTTTGAAGAAGGTCGTCTTCATGTATAACCCAAACTTCCAGAGATGGAACTGTCTTACACATAAGATCATTAAATGGTTGTGACTTAGGCTGTATTGGAATACTGTGGTGTATTAACATCTTGCTGATCAACTGGTGTAGTATTGACATATGTTGAGTTAAAGTAGCTAAGTCTCTAACTCAATATCATAAAAAATCTTCGACATTGAAAACGCAAATTATTAGTCAATTCAAATCAACATTGATCTTACAGGGATAAGATGGGCTTCTGATATCCAGTATTTAAGACAAAATAAAAAAAATTACCATTGGTACACGAATCGTGTACCTTAATGCGTTTCAGCGCCATTTGGAACAAGGGACTCAAAAAACGCGGCTAGACACATTCCACAAGTCATGCATCATGTCAAATGGTGACGCTATATTCTTATCTGGAGAGCATGTGCAATAAATATCATCGGTGTAGACTGGAATAACCAGACGCTAAAGATTGCCATTCAATTGAGACTTCAGGCGTATTTCGCCGAACATAATTGATTAGAAATTACAGTAAAAACAGAAACGGTTGAATGTAAATCAGTTTATATACATTCACATTACATTATTATATGCGTTACGACACATTTGTGTCAATTTCTAGGTCCCAAATATTAGCGATTTAGCCCCTTTAACATCTCTATGACTTGAAGTCTCAGTCGAACTATTTAAATTAATTTTATTGTAAACTTGTTCGTTTGTTGAACGGGTCGTATATTTTTTCTCCCTCCTGAAAACATTGATAATTCATGTTTAAAAAGGGATTTGTTATTTTGGAAATAGTATGAAGGGAAATATATGTGTGTATATATACAGTGAAAACAATATCCCAACATCCGAATGTTTAAGCGCTCAAGAGAAATCTATTACATATATAAATATACTCCAAAGTGAAATGGAAATTTGACGTATTGCGACCTGCATACATACCGATGAAAGCTGCCAGTGTCAGTACGTAACAGTCCTGGTGCGCAAGGGAAGCACGAAACCTGGCGTCATAAAATCATAAAAAGCCTGTTTGTGAAATCAACTAGTAAATCGAGGAAAGTTTTAAAATCGTTGTTGGCAATGGGACCCCGACAACTTACTATACAGTGTAAAGACGGCAAGTTACTGACAAGAAGAATTCTGGTATGACAATGAGATAGATTGCACGACAGTAAAGTCAACATCCCTCGATTGTTCTGAAAACATCGACGGACAAATGACTGCTCGATTGAGAGTTACTTGTTCACCGGTATGTTGACGAAGGAGCATGGCAAATGCACAGAGGAGCATCATAGAGCAGGTTGGTTTGTCAATAGCCCTCTTTATGGGGAAGTAGCTACATTACCCTGACAAGCCAGAAATGAATATAAATGGTTACCCCCCTTCAATAGTTTTATCAGAAGATTGCGACATAATGTCACAATGAACCCTAATGAGATACAACTATACACTGAATATAAATAATGACACGGGCTAAGACATAAGCAGCAACCTATCTTCATGAAGCAATGGTTATAAGTACCTTATTAACAATTGCTACACTTATGATGGTGTTTCTAGTTAGCTGTGTTCCCCGTCTTCAACTTGACAGTCTCCTGGAGATTTTAACCCCAGTTTTTGTAATACAGGAATTGTGTTTGATGAAATAATCTTACCTCTCTCTGACGAAGTGCTTGTTACAGGCTTTACAATTAAGGTTGTTTGTGGTTTTCTGGTAATTAAGAACATACAAATTATCACAGAAAATTAACTAATATTCTAACTAAATTACGTGTAGTTTACACCCTAAATTACAGAGAGAGAGAGAGATAGTGAGAGAGAGGGGGGGGGGTAACGTCCACACGCCCCAAACTAGGTCATTTCGGAACTAACGTATGGTTCAATATTATTACAATAATTCACTTGCGCTTAGGAGTTTTTAGCAGCGGGAGGATCGGAAGAATGCCAGCGTTGTTTAATAGGCGACCCTACTCCTTGTCACGTACAAGCAGGGAATCGAAACCACACCACTTGACTCGATGACAACCCCTATGGTTTCACGTGCACCCAGTAAACCACTAGACCCCCCGCCCCCAAAGATAACAACAAATGTAAAATGAATAATTAAGTAATAACACGTATAATAGGTTCAGTTATAAGAAAACTCGCCACCATTCGGCATGTAATGCTAAAAATGCATAGGTTGTGGTTAAATCCAGCCAATGCCACTTATTATTGATATTTTGATTTTGTTTTCTTCATTAAATATTAAAATTCCATTTAAGTACATTCTAGCGTGGATTAAGCGTGAGAAATTGACATATGTAAATGGCGACCACCAATTTTAAATTTCACTAAAGTCTAATAATCACAAACAATCACATTACGTTTACCAGAGGTCACATCACGTGATTGTGCGTGAGTTTCGACACATAATCTGTGTGCGTTAAAACGGGAAGTGTTATTGGTTTGTAGTTTGGCGATAAACCAAAATGGCCGATAACACAAACAATCACATACTGTACTGTTAGCAATGATTGTTGTCATAACGAGAGGTCACATCATGTTTTTGCGCGCGTATCCGTAGGTATAGACACATACTATGCGTGTCGTGGACTCTGAGACTGCCCCTTTAAAAAGAGACACTCCTATGTTTAATGATATCAATAATTACTCACGGATATTAACTATGATAGTCTTTTTAGCTGTGAATGTTACATTACGATAAGAATTGGTAGCCTCACACTCATAGGTACCACTCTGCAGTGGTCCTCTTGGACATTCTGCAAATACATAACACCCCAATTTCCTGGGTTATATACTTGGTTAGATCTAAGATGTTGCCATTTATAAGTAGCAGCAGGAACTACGGATATTTGACACAAAAGAAGAAACGAGTCACCAACGTCATGTACAGGATAATCTGGTACTTGATGTACCGATAAACTGTCAACTTCTACAGGATCTGAAACAATTGACATAAATAAAAGTAAACTGAAATTTTACCATCATGATCATGTGGATACAGAACACCAAACAATTCCTACACCCCCTCCTTTTGGTTGACATTAGTAGAATCAAGGAAAAGGGTTTCCATTTATTTTTAGCGTCAGGTTTTGGTGAATATCGTGATTTGAGGCGGAAAGATAAGAAGGTTAAGGGGTAGATTACGTTCATCTGTAGCGCCGATAGTTACATATTTACCGGTATGCTCCTTCCAGTTTGTGCGTCTCCAGATTTCTATGGTCAACCTCATGGTTGCAACATGCTGCTCTATCTGTAGTAAGCCAATGAATATTAAGGAAAGAGCTAGAGTTTGTCAAAGAGACGAGTAACAATACAGTTTCTGATGGCTGCTGTGACCATCGATAGGGTTTACTATTGAGGACTCGTCCTATCTAGAATTTTTAAATATACAAAAGTCATCGTTCCAGCATGATTCTTAAAATAGAGAGCATAAATTATTCATAACCGTATGTTTAATTATCTTTTTGTCTGATTTTGCGATTTTTGTACCGGTATATAAATTAAATTTTTGATCTCCGGCAAAGGGTTTATAATATGAGTGTTAGTATCAAACATTTACTGAACTACGCAACCATTTGTCGTGGAGATTGATGTAGAACGCGTGACACAAAACAGCTTTGATAAATGTAAGCGAGATACATTGTACGTCATTGTTTGTTTGATAAATAAATACACTCGATTTGGTATAAAGGAGATAAATACACGAGTCATAGACTAACCCCTGTATATTACGGGATACCACCAATTACCATGTACTAATATGGACCGGGGGTCTGAGGGAAGAAGGGACTAATTGATCGGTGCCCAAGGTTGTCCAAACATTTTATCCCTGCTCCATACCCTCCACCCGCCCCTCAAACGTTCCCAAAGCAATAACACTATCGTATCTATGGATTATACTATAAGACCAATATATATTTCTTACAGTTAATAACTAAAGGTGCTAAATCTAGATAATCTTCAGGGTCTTCATATATAGTGTGAGTTGTTCGACACCGAATAACAAGCCCATTATCTCTTCTCGTGACATTCCGGCTGAGTCTGGAAGTAAAAGTTCTAGTACAGGAACCAGGAGTGACGAATTAATTGAAAACCTCAGAATCAGCAGATAAATCTTGTGTAATAGATCCTCTTACACCTTCCCACTTGATAGTTCCTAGAGGTGTTTTCCCTACAACGCTTGTACAATCAAACGTCATACTCCGCGTATTCACCTTTTGATTGAATCAATGAACTTGGTTTCTCTGGTCGACCTACAAAAATGAAATTAATCCATAAAACACGGTCAATGAAATAAAGCTCTGTTGGGCAATCGGCATATTTGTGAAGCGATGCACGGACGTCACAGTATGTTGCTTAGTGAAAGGAGCAGAAATTGCATCGTAACCAAAGACGCACAGCAAGTTTAAAAGCATCTAAACAACCTAAAACATGAATGTTTTGAAAATGGGGGGCGGGCGGGGTGGGGGTGGGGGTGGGGGTACAATTTCAGCGTACAAACAGTACCTTCAATCGTATTCAGATACAAATCTACCTTACTAAGAGGGGTTAATAATAGATCTGCCAGTTATTTACTGTCGCTCAAATACAATATATATATATTTCATTATAATATTTACCTTGTAATGTTACCGCCATCGTACTTTGCTGATTTCGAAGTGTTCCACTAGAAGTATATTCCACTGTACACCTATACTGTGCCTCATCTACACATATTAACGTTCTTATATTAATATAACCGCCATTGGTAACTTTTAACAGATTACCCCTATTCCTTAATTCACCGGCATCTTCATAATAGACTGGGCCACCAATTCTAAATTTACTGATGTCAATAAAGTCCACATCTGAATTTCTTTTTCTAGCCCAAGTTAAACTATCAAACGTTTCTCCATTCTCTAGTGTATAGGTACATGTAAGGTTTAATCCTTCATTCAATATCCCACTCTTGTTTGGTGCAGCTACTGTTGCACAGTCCCCTACAAATATTCAGCAAATATAAAATTACATATGTATATAGAATCAACCATTATTATTATAGGCTATATTAAATTGTTAGCAACATGAACGCCCAAAATAATAAACATGTAAATCGTCATCTTACCTGTAAAAATCATAAAAACAAATAATATGTAAGTTATACGACAACATAATATAATAGTCGACATTTTGACATCAGCTACCAGAAAGATCTAACTAAATACGCACAATAACTTTGCATAATTTACCAGTTTCTAAACGCCCAATAACATAATGGATATGCATTACTCAGTGAATGCATTATCGTGCCCACAGGTAATTGTCCAACGTCTAGATGTATTTCTTTTGATATGGATTTCCTTTTATCGAGATAACGAAACGTTAGTATTACTCGGATTATTTGGGCTAACTGCAGAATATGCATGTAACCAATCGCAACTACCTGTAAGTACATAAAGGATTATGTTTGTTATTACATTAAAGGATGTTACGCGGATACTTGAATGGAGATAGAAAAAAAACCTCGAACGAAAAACCTCGGCCTTTCTGCCTCGGTCTTTCTTTTTATCGGGTTATTTTCTTCAGTCTTTCTTTCCCCAGCATAACCCTAGTCTCGTGCAGTTCAGTGAGCCCCTCCTCCCCCAATGAAAAGAGACAACTACACAAAAAGAGGAAACATCGTGTGTAATTCTGAAACAATATAATCTCATTTTGGAGTTCAGCTTCATATGTAATATTGCAGCATGGGTAACATGATTTTAGAACTTGCTCATATCAAACACGGCCCAGCCTGTCTAACCGCATTCCATCCACTTCTATGAAAGGTTATCAAACTAAAAATATATCGTATTGCTTTAATTCCGATATGACCTATCGCAACACAAACCACTACTGCAGTGGCCGATCCATATAGGGCAGAACTAGCGGGGTTAAAAAAAAACCAACTCTAATAAATGCAAATGGTTTTGTTTGTACTAATGAACGACCCTCCTCCAGAATTAGTTCCTATTTTGTGCTTTCCTTAAATCTCGGATATCGGCTCGATAACTAGGATGTGTTGAAACAATCTATGTCGCATTATAAGTAAAGTAGTATGATGTCAGTATTTTATAAAATACTGGATGAGTTATACAACGTGAGGGCCCGCGACAGGGACATCCGGGTACTGGGACAAGCAACTCGATGAGGGAGGCCAGGAGATTACTTTGCTAAAACACATCACCTAACGAAAGTAAAAGTTTCGCTTCAGTTTTGATTTTAATGGTCGGATACCAATCAGCCTGCCTAGAGAGATCTATTACCGCGTGCATAATCACTGCCCGCGACAGTGACACGCTCGTCGCTCACCATCATTGCAGTATTCTACTTGCCGGGGCCCGGATATCCTGACGGTGACGATAGCCTCAAACGGAGCGAGGACGGGTTCCCACGAGCACACTGTATGGCGTATGCCCGTCTTCATTAGCCCAGTTCGGAGCAAAACAGTAGGACGTTAAACCCCATTTCATTTCATTTCATTTCATTTCCCACGGGGCTAACGTGGCTTATCATTTTTAATTAACCAAATTTTCCAAACAAAGTGAACTGATTCTAATCCTACCCACCCCACCAGTTACTCACATTCAGACAACTCGCCGGTTTTCTACAACTTTACCACCAAGTTACATTGTATATTTTTTTGTCATTAATTTATGCCAAGAAATTATTTTTTAAAACATTACGCGGCATACCTCCGGACGCCTCTAGATTCCGGGCCCTTGGACAAGTGTCCCTGTTGCCCCCCCCCCCTCTCACGGGCCCCGAGAATACTTTGAGAGTTTGGGCGTTGATGATGATTTGTATCGCATACCTTTTCCCAAATATAACATTTAATTCCATCAGCTACAACACCCCAAATCTCAGATTTACACGGTTCATAGAACTAGAGTAATAAATGATAACACATTTTAATCATTAATCGTCAACTTTATCCTTAAATACTACATCAAATACAAAATAAATAGTATCAATATATTTCTATAACAAAACTAATTATTTTGAAGTTATTCTTAAATTGATTGGTTCAACCGCAAGGTTTCATACAGCGAACAAACAAAAATATTTTCTCTTTGTGACCTGAATTATGGCCCTTGACTGTACAAAAAATCGCATTTTGTTTAGCATCAATTGCGGAAAGTAGGTTACTATCGTCCTGGCATCTGGTCCACAGTTTACTGCATTTAAATAGAATAACGGTGCTCATACGAAACACTGGTAATTGCCCCTCCTTAATAGCTGACACTTCTATACTTTCTATATAAGAAAGGGCGAGGTTAAATTTCCCTTCAAACATCGTCCGGCGTTGATCGAGAGAGTTTAACGTTCACTCGACACAAACTAGTTCATTTTCGGAGGAGCACATGGTTCAATTTTATTTCAATAATTCGCTTGCGCGTAGGGGTCTTTACAGTGGGAGGAAACCGGAGGACCCGGAAAAACCCCACGGGGTTGGACAGCCGGGAAATCGAAACCACGCCAGTTGACTCAATGACAGACCATATTCCTTGCCGCATACAAATATTGGATCGAAAACTGTGCCACTTGACTCAATAAAAGCCCGTATGATCTAAAACGCACGCGTTAGACCATTCCACAGCCCCCCCCCCCCAAGCTAAAGAGAGAGGGGTCAAACAAATAATATGTTATGGCTTAAGGTATAAATTTATATCAATAGTTAACTTAAGGTATAAATTTATAGCAATAGTTAACTTTCAAACTACCAACAACAAAATACACTCAAATTGTCTGATTAATGAGCGAGGTTGTTATAAGATGTTGAACAGTCAGGAACCATACCATGCCTCGTCACTTTTAATCCTACAATCTTAACCAAAATTGTAGAGTGAAATAATTCAAGACCCGTCATTCGTTAATACAAAAAACAATGGTGGATTTAGAAAATACGTATATTGCATGTGTTTCTTTCAATACAAAAATAAAGTTATCTTTAGGTTCTTATACTTCCTACCAATTCTCGGAAAGCCTTGCAATGTGAATTATTAATTACTGAAAAATGGAGTTAACGAAATAACTTACCCTCTAGGGAACTATGGATCTAAATGGTTTGAAATAGGAAGTAGTGCATAAGGAAAGTGTGTTTTGATCAGCGGCCACATACCTATTTCGATATAGTTATTAACAAAGAAAATTCTCGAAGCACAATAAAATGGCACAGTGTATGACAAAGCCCTTAAACGATACAACATACTGTATGTATACTGTTAAGGAGCCCTCACAGACATGTCGTGTGGTGAAAGGGCTATATATTTTACAACAATTTTAACTTAGTATCGTGAAATTTACACTTAGTATATTAAAACTGCGAGACAGTAACTTGAGATTGTAATTTTCAATTTGGAATTAAAATTGCCATTCGTATTAGCTAAACGAGCAGGACAATGTGTTTACGTGGACATATCTTCATTACTGTTCCTCGAGATTAACACTAAATTATATTGTTCTCGTCAATTATACATACATTATGCAAGAGCTAAATCTGCCTATTGCAGGTATTTCTTTAGGTCTGAAATGTTATCAAAATTATTAATTAGACATTAATTAACTTATCCGTACCATAATCAACTCTCGATGGCATAGCTAGCCTGAGATCTTTAGTGGATTGTGGCCCAATTTACTGCATAACTTTCCTTAACGATTAAATCAATAAATGGATAATCGAGACTATGCTTTTTATCGTACTGACTTTAGTAATGACGATCGAGGCTAGGCGGAAATTTCAATCGCTTAATTCTCGGTTCGTTGTGGATCTCAATTTGACTGAAATTTTCAGCAAATTGCCTTTACATTATCTAGTTTTTAACTATTATAGTGAGAACTTCCAACTCGTTATCTAATCTCCCATAATGTGTCTTTAATATATCAGCTTGTAATATCAGTTCTATTCTGGTCACAGGTTTCGAAATAAACGGATGTGACACTACAGTGACACTGCGTGACACGGAATACAGGTGGTACTATTGCCCCGGTCATGGAATCTATTATTATATACTCTTCAAAATAAAGTAGGGGATATTCATAAACAATACAAAATGCGGAAATGCACTGCTGTTTTTATTAGCGGTAACCAGTGTATGTATATAACAGGCCAATTGCCTACATATGAACATAAACAGTTCATATGGGCGGCTTATCTGACGGCCCCATTAAACTCGCAACGAGATACACCGTCAAAAGTGAAAATGGACGTTTTTGATTTTTGTCTTAATAATGAGTAATTGCTCCACCAATCCTCAGACATTCAGCAATTCGTCGTGGCATGCTCCTAATCAACCGTCCAATCACGATTTGGGGCAATCTGACCAACTCCTCTTGCAGTGCAACGGCCAATTCTTGCAGTGTTGTCGGTTGACGTTGACGTCGAGGAACACGTCTCCCAATCAAATTAAACGTAACACACTAAAGCAAAGATACGCTAAACAGTAAATATTATGCAAAAACCGATAGGAAAGCAAACATGGATAGATAAACCAGCACGCGGCAGTTTTCATCAACCCTTCCTTGAAGTGCCAGATTTGACAATGAACCCCCGGCTATTGCGTGTCGCACGTGCAGCTCGGCGGTTCTGTTGGGGCGATAAGTTCTTCATCTGTGAACATACTCTCAAAGCATGTCAAGTGTCCATGACTATTTATCATATCACAACCTGCATAGGTATTTGCATTTCAATATCCCCTACTTTTTTAAGCGTATACATGGAATTCACTATTTAACTCCCCTCTGTATTATGTACTTTTAATAATCAATAAATATCTAGAACACTGTATAATATATAGCATAACTAATTACATCTCTTACAGCAGTTATAACTAATAAACACATGTTATAGTATCCAAGAACTCGAATTAAATGTCTGTCTACAGTGGGGGGGGGGGGGGAATCACAGTGGCTAAGTGGGTATGACGCAGGCTCACTATCCAGGAGGTGGCGTGGTTTCCCCATTGTCAGTGATGCAGGAAGGAGGGCCTGACAAGGACAGCTGTCTAGTCGTTCGGATGTGACGAAAAACCGAAGTCCCGTCCCGTGTACACATTGAAATGAAATGAAATGAAATGGGGTTTAACGTCCTACTGTTCTGCTCCTAACCTGGGCTAATGAAGACGGGCATACGCCATACAGTGTGCTATGAGGGAAATTTTGCCCGGACAGCGACACCACGGCCTACTCTTATATCGAATTCCAACTGCCAAGGGATATTTTACGTGCACGCCACCAGGCTCGGCGCACCACCCTCTTATCTGCCCCTGGTTTAATGTATAATGCAATTTTGCAAGTAACCCACATCACAATACAAGAAGTGTATACGGATTGCATTACTAATGCCATATGTATTAAAGGGACAATAACACTCTTGCTGGCTTGAAAGCTCCAGAAAATAAAAAAATATCTCTATCTACCTGTTGTATAAATTATCCATTACATCCTATTTTACTTGTCCAGAGTGTTCGAAAATATTTTTAAATCGAAGTTTCATTTGAAAAGGTTTACGTGAGACGTTTCAAACCATTATGTTGAATTTTTCAATATTTTTAAATAAGGTGTGTTAAGATGAAATTTGTATCATCATTTAATTGAAATATTCTAAAATAGTACAATTTGTTGACCAGAATAAAGATTGGGACAAATTATTCAGTTACAACAAGAGTGGTATTGAGCCTTTAACTTTACATACCGGTACATATCAACTGAAAGGGTAAATGGAACTCGTGAAAACGCCTCTTTACATTTACCCGGATACCCGTATTTATTAGCCTACCCGGAATAGAATAGTAGGACATTAAATCCCATTTCATTTCATTTCATTCAGCACCTAAGATACATGATACATGTACATGTGATGACCTATATTTCAATTGCCAGAGATAGAGAGAGAGAGAGGGTAGATATTTATTTAGACCTCTACCACAATATTTGGGCAAAATTAATTGAATATATATGTCACAATATGCATTGATAAAACGCATAAGTGATATTTATTTTTAGAAAGTTTAAAAAAGGGCTTTTATAAACCTGTATGATGTTTGTTTAAAAGAGTTACCTGCACCTGAACAAGTTTACGTATCCGATGCGTTATATTTAGTATTAGTAAAGTTATGCTGAAATAGTGTTGTTGTCTATTACATAGATAAAAGGTAAGATCAATATTTTTATTTCAAAGGCGCTGATAGTCTTCTGGTCTGGGACGGTGCGAATATGTGTATAAATCATGTCAACAGTACGCCATGCCAGACAGCTCATTAAGGTCCCCCGCCCACCAGGCCATAAGATAAGATAAGATAAGATACGATTTTATTGTATCATAACACCCATTGCAGGCCGCATACAATTCATATGCATACCATAAGGAACATAGAATAAATAGCAATATACATATTTTACATATATATTTAAGCAGTACACGTCATACTCCATTTATTTAAAACTAACTTTGTCAAAATGTACATACTTTACTCAAATGTTACGAACATGGGGGAATCGGGATACGAGTTGTACTCGATGTATACAGGCGATACTGTTTGAGGGGTTAAAACACTTCAACTACAGTGTGCTTTAAATATGTAACCAGTCACATAAAAGGTCGACTAATTCATTGAGTACCTGCAGACTTAATAGACGAAGTTTTCCCCTTATTTCTCTGAAGAATTTGTCGTTTGTATTTCATCGACCATTACGATGTTGGGATCCAGTAATGATGTAAATTTCGAGACACGCCCAATGAATTTGAACTATATTACGATTTGTTACTGTGGATAAAATCACTGCATTTGACACACTTAATACAAATGTAAATAAATATTACACAATGATGTAATTGTTGACGATATCCCTACGGTGGAAGCTGTCGTTAAATAAAACTATTTTACACAAACACATTTAATACAAGTAATTTGTTTTATGCTTGTCACCATTTAATTTATCTTTAATATCCCCTTCCAAAAAAGAATGCACGGCCCATTTTTCATCATTTTTTTTATTTGAACGGGATCGTTGCTTCTATAAATCTTACTTGTTTTTAATGTCATTATGTAAGGAAATTGGTTTTAAATGTAGGGTCACTAATTGTGATAGGTCATACTTTTTGCAAAATCCCCCCCCCCCCTTGATTGCACGAAGACACATGAGTTTAATAACTTCGCAAGCTTTTCGCATGAAACCTTTATCTAAGGCCTTTAAAATCCCAGGGATCTCGGTTTCAAAATCAGTTGCACATGTAAACACTCAACGAACCAAGTGATGCCACATCTGAACGAAGACCAACGAAACAACGCTATCGGCTGGTTACAAGCTGATGAATACCAGACAAATGTAGCCAGGCTGCTGAATGTTTCCCAGGGTACCATTTCCCGCCTTTGGGAAAGGGTACCGACAGCAAAGTTCAACCATACTCCTCGCAGTGTTTCGTTTTATTAGAGCTAATACCACTACTCACTGCTGTAAAGAAAGCAAATTCTTGTTCTAAATTATGACTGGTCAATAGTCCGATTGACAACCAATAGCTAACTGCGTAACAATACCAATCAGAGCTCCAAATTGGACCAAATGTGCATAGCAGAATATTACAGAAAAACTAATTGTGTGACAAACGAGGCTATCAATACGGATATAATGTAAACAATATTGTTTTGAGACGAACACCACTTTCACCGTTTTTAATACCTTAAATCACTGTCCAAAGTTTTAGGGAAAACCCCAGATTAAACGAAGGCCTGTCATGTTACTGTACTTGGGGATAGATTTGATTGAACGGGAAGGATAGACACACTCTCTCAAAAGCTCAAGTATCAGAATCTAATCCAGCAATGGCCAGAGAGGGATTTCTCGGGCCATTGCTTCAGGAATATGAGTTCAAAACGTGACCGCCCAAGCTCAGGCCAAACAAGAATGACCCCACCTGCCCTGGTTCGTCACATCTGGTTACATCATTTGAGGAAACGGTTCACAACAGCAAACTCTACTGCACCAGCAATCCTCGAACGGCGTAGGATCTGAAACCAAAAGGTCCATTAACGCCTACGTGAAACCGGATTACGAGTCAGACGTCCCGTTAGACCTGTTGTGTTGAAATACGCCGACACCGTCAAATCCGACTTCAGTTGGATCAGACACACAGGGTATGGCCACAGCAACGCTGGAGAACAGTTTGGCTCAGCGATGAGTCGCGGTTCCTGTTGGAACGAGGCGATGGTAGAGCGAGAGTATATCGACGACGAAATGTCACAATGCGTTTCTTTTTTTGAAGAGTATATAATAAAAACAGTCTTTAAATTGGAATAGTACATATTGTTTGAACTTTTGATATATAAACGATCTATCTTTTTGTCTTACTTCAGCCTAAAAAATGTTAGCTGTTCGTCTAGTATTTTTATTGTCTCTCGGAGAAGTACTATCTGGTAAGTATTTGGTTTTTTAAAAATAATAAAATAATCAACAATCTTAGAATTGTTGAATAAATATGTCGCTATAGATACCCGCCTTTTAAGAAAGGTAAATCATTATAGTATCAGGTAGGCCACTTCCTTCGCTTAATTTTTCGACGTCAAAAATTGCCCAATCAACAATCCAATCAAAATCGCACATCTTATCAACCCAATTCAGAACTTCATTTTTAGAAACAAATGAAAGCGCTCCAGCACCACCAAGCTGAAGATGTTTGGGAAAACTGTACTCATTTATATTTTTTCATACGCTCAGATTTTCATGTTGACATATATTGTCGTCGCCCTTGTCCGTGGGGACGTCCATCCGTCCGTCCGTCCACAATTTGTTTGTGGACAGTCTACAGGTCACAATTTTTATCCGATTTTGACGAAACTTGAAATGCATTTTGATCTCCCACAGATCTGGATTCCTTTGGATATTGGCATGTACCCGACCGTAACTCCATAGGTTATGGCTCCTGATGGTACGAAAAGTCGAGTTTTTAGCTTGTTGTCCTTCTAGAGGTCACAATTTTTTATCCAATTTAAAAAAAAATGTTCGAATAGATAAACTAAAAATGATAAACTGTATATGTAATTATCAAACATCACTGCAAATTTAACACAATTCTGGGATGGTTCGCACAGTCTTCATCAACCCAGTCGGTGCAGAATAGTAAGGCGTTAAACTCATTCTATTTAATTACAGGGTGCTTCATATAGTTGTAAACTATTGAAAGGGAAAGTCAGAATCATAAGTACATACTAATAACATTATATTTGTTAACTCTGATTTATAAGTGAATAACGATGTCCATATAAAATAAATAATTGTTGATTAGAGGGTATTATAAGATATTTATTGTGCTACAAAAAGTCTTTTACCAAATTCTTTTAGCCATGTTCCTTTTGGTTTGTTGCCGTGATTGAAATCGGGAAACATCATTGGTCGAAGGTGTCGTAGTACCGGAGACACGTGACTACCGTTTACAACCAATGGAATTACTACAGGTCGATCTCTAGGAATGGCGTCAATGGGATAGTTGGTCATTAGGTCCTCGTCGTTATATTTATGAATACAGATTACAACAAAATTACCAGATAAAGCTGTGGTTAAGGCATCATTCCGACTTTGAAACGCAAAGATGTCTTCGTCATTTTGGACCACGTTCAGACCGATTTCAGTTAAACAATTCTCAATGACATCGCTTCTACAGCTGAAGTTGTGACGTCATAAATAATTCGAACGTGTGAATTGACTTCTTCAACGTAGTAGGAACTATCCAAAGCTCGCTTGAAGCAGGATTTTACCAGGTCTGTTTGGTCTATCTGATCAGCCGTTCTTCAACAATGTCCATCATAACTCCCACAGCTAACTTCTCTATATCTGGTAAATCTGTTACCATGAGTATGGTTGCTAGATCCAAGCAGTCGTAATAATTCTTCGATTCCAGATAATTATAGATCAAAGTTTTAAATGCGCCATTGACATCAGAACTTGAACGTGGTTCATCAATATCGTTTTTAAAACGAAAAGATGCACGCTTCGTTTAACCTGGTCAAAACTAGAATAAAAGTTATAGTAAGTATTGGTTCCAGATCTATCATCACGAAACAAATCTTTCACAGGAACCTTTTGACGTTTACCAGCACTAGATTCTGTAAGATATTCCATAGCAGCATTTACGATACTTTCTCGTTTACAATGATTAGCCTCTTCAAAGTTTCCTATTTCAATATAGCATTTCGTTGCCCACTCATTGCCATGCCTTTTCCACATATACTCGGAATCTTCGATTAGAACTTGAAACCTTTCTAGGGTGTCGTCGTACTTAGGGGATAATAACTGTGTGTACACCTTACCCATATCGAAAACTGTCGCGAGATTTGTTCCTTTACTTAGTCGTTCAGCTTGTTCTAGTAAGTCTATAGCCAATTGGTTGGAGTTTTCAACTTGTAGTTTTAGTAATACCAAAGCTAGATTGTGACAACTCACGGAAGTTGGTTTCATTTCTATAGATGATTCTAGAACCTTTTTTGCTGCCTCGGACATGTTCATTGTCCTCAACAATCTACCAGTTTCAGATAATATAGTTGAGTTTTCTGGTGCCTCCTCATTGGCTTTATCGAAATAATCATTTATTTTCTCCAAAACGGCGCTTGGTTTCAGGCCCATCTCCCTAAAGTTGACCTTCGCTGCGCACGGCCCATAATGTAAGTTTGCTAAACCTATATATGATAAACCCCTTAACACTGGGTCTTGGCAATCCTTAATAATGCTTTCGAACAGACCTTTCGCCCGATGAAAGTTTGCCAAGGGATCTTTCGTAGACAACATGTATATAGCTTGTGGATGTTGACATCTACGTATAGTTAGGGCCATTCGATATTTCCATTCATATTTTTCTGGATATTTTTGAGTAACGTCATTATACAAGTCAATGGCTGCATTATAATATACTGGTCCCATTCTAGAGTAAACATAAGCTTTTTCTGCTTTAGCTTCGGCCATTAAATAATCATCTTCACTTAATGCTTTAAGTTCTTTGAATGTTTCTTCAGCCTCCGTGATTCTGTCTCGTTGACCACAAAGAACAGCTTTCATCACATTTGCTTGCATATTAGTCTCGCTTCTTTGCAAAACCCACGTATTTTTAGCTTCACAATCGTCAAGGTCTTGAAACAAGAAAGCAAGGAATGATGCTAGATTATTAATTTCCGTAGCAGTGTATTCGTCTTCATCGACATTTCTTATTTTCTCTTGAATGCCTTTGAGTTTTGCAGTCGATATGCTTGCAATGTTCAAAGTGAAAAAACTGGGAATGGAATTTAAACGTTCAATAAAAGCATCAAGATCCATTTTTCGGCTTGGAATTATTTCCGATCAATCTGAAATACAGAAAAAATAAAGCAGTATCGTCCCGTAAACATGTTAACTAATCATAACCCGATAAAATAACATTAAATGGAAGCGGAATCAATACTTATCAAATTCTCGAAGTAGACTTAGTGTTTTCGACTAAATTCGTCGATTTTGGAGTTAAAATGTCGACCAATTAGCTTAATAGTGTCTTTTCAAGCGTTGCTAACGTAAGTTTAGTATAGCAGAGGAAGAGTACATTAGAAAAAAATAGATTTGATGACTGCTTGTGTTCTAAAATATCATATTCACCATTATATATGTTAGTTGCCTGTTTGTTCAACGTGGATTTGGCTCGTTATTCGGGATTCGCCCGTGTATCTGTTATCGCTCGTTACTTCAGTCAGTTATATAGAAGGATAACTTCCGTTTCTTCAAATCTTCGTTACGCATCTATCGTAGCAATGATCTATGTGTAAAAATTATATTTAGAATGTGTTTAACCAATTCTATCACATATGTGATAATGGCTGACACCAATATTATCCTTTAATAATCCCCTTACGAGAAGGGTTTTTATCAGTGGGAGAAACCTAGTGCCCGGAGAAAACAAGTAAGGTTAGGCATGCGACCAAGTGTTGGATCAAAATCGTGCCACTTGACTCAATAACAGCCCGTATTATGTCTAAAGGCCATTCGACCCCCCCCCCCCCCCCCCCGTAACTAAAGACAATTTGTTATTGCTTAAAGTATATATTTTATATCGATAGTTAACTTTATCAAACTATAAAATGTAAATTGAACTAAGATGTTATAATTTTACTCTTAAATACAAACGACCCCAACACCAAATACACTCAAATTGTCTGATTCATGTGCGAGGTTGTAACTATACTATCACTTTAGCGTTTAATCCTACAATCTTAGCCAAATTGTAGAGTGAAAAAAATCAAGACCCGTCATTCGTTAATACAAAAAGAGTGGTGGATACATATAGTGTTTCTTTTAATACTGAAATAAAGTTATCTTTAAGTTCTATACTTCCCACCAATTCTCGGAAAGCCTTGCAGTGTAAATTAATTACTGAAAAATGGAGTTGACGAAATAAGTTACCCTCTAGAGAGCTATGGATCTAAATGGTTTGAAATAGGAAATGGTGCATAAGGAAATTGATTTTTCATTAGCGACCAGACACCTATTACGATATGTAGTAGTTATTATTAAAGAAAATTCTCAAAGCACAATAAAATGTCACGGTGTATGACAAACGATACAACATGTGTGTATTGTTAAGGCGCCCTGACATAGATTTTACTACAATTTAAACTTAGTATCTCGAAATTTAAACTTAGTATATTAAAACTGCGAGACAGTAACTTAAGATTGTAATTTTCAATTTGGAATTAGAATTACGAACAGACAATGTGTTTATGTGGACATATATTCATTACTTTTTCTCGAGATTAACACTATAAATTATATTGTTCTCGTCAATTAATATATCAGCTTGTAATTAATAATGCTGTAAAATGACCAATTTAATTACGTTGGCAATAAAAAGGACGGGAAGTGTTAGAACTAGTAGTCCATGTGACAGACCTGGGATTTTGGAACATCATTACCAATTTGATGAATACATTCAACCATGATTTTCAGTTAGCCTGGTGGCTGCAGTGTTGAAATTTGGTTGATGGACTTCCGGGTTACTTTGCTAAATTGCATTTTGGCGGCCATCTTTAAAAATGGCCGCCGTTATTTCATTGAAATTGAGCGCATCGGGGAAACCTTCATAACTTCTGAAAAGATCGACCTATGGATATGGAATGTGGTTCACAATGTTCACAAGAAAATGCTACTTCTGGTGCTATATGATACTTGTTGTTGAATGAATCATATATTTTCCAAATCAACAGATTATTTTGGAAAAAGCAACCTTTTGGCATTTTTTTCTCCAGGTTTTCATGATTCATTTTATAAGGTTACTACCAAATCATGTTTAGAGTAATTTTATCCAAATTATGTGTGTGGTCTTCTTAAGTTATACAGCTGCGGTGGCCGCAAACTCAACAAAAGTCTTAAGTAGACTGTCAAATTTAAAATGTTGAACGTTGGCAAGGCAGGGCACAAACTTATAGTGAACTTTAGCTAGTGTGTCACAATCGAAACGATATTTGGGGACGGGTTGTTTCTGTGTCAAAAGACAATTTTGAGATTATGTCACTTCTGTGACGTCATTTTCGCTTGGGGTTCTGTCCGATTTCCAAAATGGCCGACATAATTTAACGAAAAACGAATTTCTAGTTAGGATGGGTGGGTATCACGCAAGGTAAGGCTTGTGATATATCATATATAGGGTTTTCGTAGGAACTGAATTTAAATTAAATTATTTATTGGAATTTTCGATGAAACAGAAAGGTTTGTTCCGCACAGGTATTAGCTTAGAAGGGACAAATACAATTTGTAGAACCAGATATTTGATGTTAGTGAACCCATTTTTTCCAGGACACCTGTTTCACACAAAATCTTATTTTCTATCCAGACGAACCTTCAGTATAATAATCTATCTGCATACAAAGTTTATGAAAATACACATTCAAGCAGCATTTAATATGGCCTACCACCCGTAGGACAATCCTTTCAACTTAAAAATAAATTGTTTATTGGAATTTTCGATTAAACGTAAACATTCTTTTAGCTGTAAAATACTCATATACCAGTTGTTAATTTGTAACATGTTTAACATCATATCTTTCCACGCGAATTAACAATAAATTGTTCATTCGATAAAACAGAAACATTTTTTTATACTTGTAAAATAAATACCAATTGTTTATATGATACGTTGAAGTCTACCATGTAATACGGACATTAGCAACACGTTTATAAGCACCATATCTTTCTACATGAACTAACAATAAATTGTTCATTGGATAAAAAGGAAACATTTTTTTTTTTATATAACTGTAAAATGATATACGAATTATCGTTTTAACATCATATCTTTTGCCTCCTTTTTCAGGGATGGACACTCAAAAGGAGTATGGTAGTTTCGGGGGTCCCTAAACTAGTCAATGTTCTTGCGTAGTCATGAATTTATGTCGTTTTTGATGAATTATTAAAGATATACGCATAAGCTAAAATCACCAGGATATACTCTAGAAAGTACCATTTAAATTACAGTCAAGTTTTTTCAAAAGAAATTTCGAGCCTGGTTGTAGAGAACCCTGTCGTTCACCTCACGGAGCAAAGATAAGCCTGTCCTATCCTAGGTATTATATGTGTAATTTTATGTCAACTTCACAATTGTCAGTATAAATATAACATTTACTTGACAATTATCATAATTTCCATCTGGCCTTAAAACATTTTACTTGGATTTGTGTTCCTGGTGTTATAAGCTTTCCAAATATGTATAGTTTGTTTAATAGGGAGCACCTTGTAGCGGAACTGTGTTTCTAAGCATGCTAGACATGGCTACTAGACTATACGACAAAAGTTGCCGGGCATAGAGGCGTTAATGTAAAAACGGACCACATTAACATTTCTGAACGAATAAGAGATCTTAAATTCTTAACAACTCGATATATCATAAGTAATTCTCAATACGGCTAAAAATGGTGCAAAGGCATAGTAGATGAAATTAAAATGCCTCACTATTTTGGTGAAATGTATTGTGATCTGTGAGATCCAGAATAATCAATTCCATATGCCCCATTGTATTTTTTATGGGGTGTGTGTGGGGGGCGGGGATCGGATATAATGTGTCATTTTTAGCAGTATCATTAACATCATTTTCAGCATTAATTTTTGAGTTTTTATTCAAGTGTGACTCTGAAAACCTTATAAAAGAGATATTATAAGCTATATAAAACAGTCATTCATGTTATGGAAATTCTGGCCGCCATTTTGAATTTTCCCCATCTTGGATTCTTAAAACTTTTCATTATGCAAGAGCTAAATCTGCCTATTCAGGTCTTTCTTTAGGCCTGAAATGTTTTCTAAATTATTATTTAGACATTAATTAACTGGTCCAGGCCATAATCAACTCTCGATGGCATCGGATTTCTCCGATATTAAATAGATTAGAACGGTTCAGCCATATTTTGATTTAATATAGAAATGGAGGAGCGAGACTTAGCTTCGAACAACCAGTACAGTGGTTGAAATTATTGCACGTGTCTTGTCAAACCTTCAAAGGCTAATATCTTCGCTCGCAATAGAGTAATTTGAATGAAATTGTCAAATTATTCATTTTACATTAGCAAGAATGGCTAGCTCTCTATCTAAATCGTACGTAACGTGTCTTTAATTGTAAGCTCAGCAACACTGAGCGCCCTTTCAATTGGATAGTACATGTCATATCAAACAATGAAATGACTATTATCTGACATATTGGCCATTTTAGGAAATTTTGTCGCCATTTTGAATTTCCGCCATCTTGGATTTGGGACACTCATATTAGATATTATTTTTTATGATCAACGTTTCTGATATCTATTAAATCACTTTAGTTGACCAAACAGATAATTTGGCTTATATGGGTCTGAACACGATTTGTTAGTAAACTTACGAACAGACATGAAAATAAATCGAAAATGTTGCTTTTTTCAGATTAATCTTTTATTTTAAAACTGATAGTATTGATTAAACAACGTATATCATATACCAGCAGATGTAGAATTATATTATGAACATTTTGAGCTATATTACATGTCCATAGGTGAAACTGTTGAGGAGTTATGAAGGCTTCCCCGACTCGCACTATTTCAAATAAAAAAAAACGGCGGTCATTTTTAAAGATGGCCGCCAAACTGACATTTGGCAAAGTGACCCGGAAGTCCATCAACCAATTTTGGACACTTTAGACCTAAGGCTAACTGAAAATCATAGTTAAACCAATTCATCAAATTGGTAATGAATATCTGCCTGTCACATGGACTATAGTGAGTATTGTGTGATGATAGCAGACGAAATGTCGTCAACCAGTCAAAACAATATGGCGGGTGATACACGTTGTTAATCTGTAATACATAGTCCCTTCATGTGCCTATGTCACTAGCTTATCTACATGTAATTAATCTAAAATCTTTTGTGTAAGATACAAAGACATCCCCCCAAAAAGCCAGTATCATATCGCAAAGAATACCAATATAGTATTGCCAGTATATTTGTATGTATCGGGTTTCAAAAACCCCGAAACAAATTAGTTTGGCTTTATCAGAAATAGTGCTCGAGCATATAAAAACAGAAATCATAAACAGTTAAAAGGTAACACATTCCACTTTCTCTCTCGAAAAAGTCACTAGAAAAATTCGAAACACCCATCCAGACTCGGCGCCCACCCTCTTATCCGCCCCAGGTTTATTGTATAATGCAACCCACTTCACAGTATTAGAATTGTATACGGATTGCATTTCTCTTTACATTCCCCCGTCTTCATTAGCCCAGTTGGGACAGAAAAACTTATGCATTGAAAAAATGCACACGTGATTTCTCTTTTTAGGAAATTTAATAAAGGGCTTTTTAAACGTGTATTATTTTCGTTTGAAAAAGTAATCGCCTGAACAAGTTTACGTATTCGATACGTTATATTTAGCATTGGTAAAGTTATGCTGAAATAGTGTTGTTGTCTTTAGATGAAAGGTAAGATCAATATTTTTATTTCAAAGGCGCTGATAGTCTTCTGGTCTGGGACGGTGCGAATATGTGTATAAATCATTTGATGCCACAAGGATAGTTAGAGAATTCTACTCCTATTAGACATGTGAGTTTAAAGCATCCGAAAACCTGAAAAAATGACTGAATTTATGATCCGTTTTAGTATCCCAATTTCAAATGGCCATATCTCAGTGAGTTTTCAACCTAGAGAGGTAAAATTTCGAATTTCTTAGTTTAAGGCCATATACTATAACATATATTTTTTTATAATTTTTTGGGAGGGGGGTCATGTTCCCACCATTGGTCCAGTTGACATGGAATGACTCTTCTGTCAACTTCTTTTTCCGCCGTTTATTTGCAGAGTCTTTTGTACGTTGACACTCCTCAATGATCCTAAAACCGCCTAACCATTTAATCAAGAAATAACAACCGCTACCTCACTTAAGCTGACACACAATAAGCTGGCAGATAACAGTTGGGATGTCAGTTAGTGATACCCTGACAATTATGCCCAGTGCTTGCCCCATGGGCGTTTTTCGGGTAATCCAGTATTTTTCTAGTAAGATTGGGTGTCTATACTTACCATATATACCAAATTAGACATACTTTTATTGGAAATAACCACCCGATAAATACTTTTCTGGGAAAATATCTTTAATCTTCGAAGCCAAAAATTGCCCAATCAACAATCCAATCAAAATCGCACATCACATCAACCCAATTCAATACTTTATTTTTAGAAACAAACGAAAGAGCTCCAGCACCACCAAGCTGAAGATGTTTATATTTTTTCATACGCCCAGATTTTCATGTTGACATTATATTATCGTCGCCCCTGTCCGTGGGGCCGTCCATACATCCGTTCGTCCACACTTTGTTTATGGACAGTCTACAGGTCACAATTTTTATCCGATTTTGACGAAACTTGAAATACATTTTGATGGCCCACAGATCTGGATTCCTTTGGATATTAGCATGTATCCGACCGTAACTTAATGGGTTATGGTTCCTTAGGGTACGAAAAGTCGAGTTTTTAGCTTTTTGTCTTTCTAGAGTTCACAATTTTTATCTAATTTAAAAAAAAAACGTTCGAATAATTCACCGCTACACCATAATGCTGATTGAGTTCGAGTTTCGTGAACACTGCCCGACAAAATGGCTGCTACTTGTACGAAAATAGTGTAAAAGAATGTAATACCAAGGTTTTGAACCCTCTAGAAGTTACCATTTGATCCGATCCTGATGAAACTTAAAATATATGTTTATACCTAAAAGATCACGGTTCGTGCATATCGGACCGTAACTTCCTGGATTATGACTCCTGATTGTACAAAACATCGCATTATGTTTTTTAGCCTGTTCTCTGTCCATCTCTTGCAAAATGTGGGCGTATCTTGCATGGCAACCGTTGGTTGTCTATAACCATCCTATCTTTTGTATTTACATAGAATATTGCAGCGAGAAAACAATAACCAGTGATATAAGCGGTGAGGAAAGGATATATATAATACCAAAGACAGCATCTGGTGAAAAATACAGACTTATAGACCAATGTGCAAATCGTAAATACAACTTTATCTCTTTATTTTTTTATGCATGCATGGTGGAAAATCAGTGCCTAGTAGTTATCAACCCCTATATCGCCATTTGGCATTTTGAGTGTGAAAGAACTATAGATGAATTAACGCCCATTTGATACTAATTAGGCCATGTCGGGACCGACAGAATATATATTTGGGTTCCCTAATTAACATGCGCACAGGGGTATTCAGAAGTGAGAGGAACCAGAGTTCCGGGAGAAATTTCACAAAGCTAGATCGGCGAATCTTGTCACGTATAAAGCCGATGACTTGCCTTGATAGCAGACCAATCGGACGCCATAACCTGATAGCAGACCAACCGGACGCCATACCCCGATTAAAGACATGGAATATTTGTTACTTAAAGGAATGAATGAATGAATGAATGAATGAAATGGAGTTTAACGTCCTTGTTTTTGGCACCCACCGGCCTAATGAAGACGGGCCATTTTGCTCGGACAGCAATTGAATTTCAACTGCCAAGGGTTCTGTTACGTGCACGTCAACGTGTACACGGAAGCTGGGTTGTATACTAGACGATATTCCCTTCAACTGTTTAAAATTTATACGTAGATCATATTCCTTGTTTTTTTTTCAAACGGACACACCGGTGATAGGTGTGTTGTCATGTTATATATTATATAATTCTGGTCTAAGAGTAACTTTGGTGTGTTATTTAATTGTTGACCTGTGTTTGTTTTTAAAGATATGTCGCCATTAGCAGTGGGTGAAATTAGTTGTTCAGATAATGATGATTGGGGATGGTTCCAAAAGGATATTGTGTGTAGTTTCTTCAGCACAGACACATCCCGAGTTACAGATGAACTCACCTACATTGTTAAAGTAGGGCAGATTTTATAATCTCTCTATATATACAATAATCGGCTTATATTATTATATACAAATGTAACAAAAACACTATAACTGTTCCACTATATAACACCCTTGCGGACTAACTGAATTTCGTAAATGTGATTGGTCGACGCAAGACAACCATACAAGGAAACGATGCACTTAACAATGAAAATCAGTACATTAAACAGGCATTATAAGAGCCAACCTGTCCATTGCAGGCCTTTCTGTGGGCCTTAAATGTTATATAAGCTATTAATTAGACATTTATTAACACGATAAGACCATAATCAACTCAGCTTAGAGTGAAGTAATTTGGCTGAAATTTTCAGAATGTTACCTTCACATCATCTTTTTTTTATCTATTTAAAAGAGAACTGTCAGCTCTTTATTTAATCTTCCATAATGCCGCTTTAAGCTTTCCCATACTGATGTTCAACTGTTGCCACATGTTGTTTAGTTTGTCATTGAAACTGTACAGTGCATAATAATTTAATCAATTTATTTAGTCTGTTTAAACCTTTTAAGTTTAAAAGCTACGTTGTCGCATTTAGGAGTGGGTCTAGGGGGGAAAAGTAAATACTGGTAGGTTGGCAAATGTTTTTGGGATATTTGGGTGTAGATATTTAGCTTTTTATATCGTGTTATATTTCAATGTAACTAAAGCTTTCTATTATATCATGCAATAGTTGTAGAAGGCTGTCTTTGGTCTTACTATTATAACCGTTTCCATTCATACATTATTATATATCCCAACTATGTTTGAATGGCTGTATTGTAAAGGTTTTTTACCATAACTTTTGACCCAAGACAATACAAAGGCCATTAATAAGATATACATAAAAACTACGCCACCTCTAAATCTGCCAACAAATTGCTATATTTTTTTTATTCCAACAGAACATCAACAATATACATGCCAAACGTTACATAAGGAGAGTGGAGCTGTTGACCTCTGAACCCGCTATTCTAACTTATATTGATGTTTTATATACAGCTTACATTTTAGATCAAACCACCAAATCCAGTGATTATATTTCTTTTATCGTGAGTATGTTATGAAATGTTAAACTTTAAGGTCCACGTTTGGACTGATTTAAATATTTCAATATCACACACAATGCATATACAAAATCTCGTGAATGTCCCAAATAATGTACAATTTTCGGAAGTGACGCCTTGTTTAACGTGCTACTATGCGCCTTTTACGAAGTGGTCTCATTCGCTCCATATATTTTGGTTTCTTTTTTCATTTATTTAATTTTTATTTTTCCATATCAACTATCAACTAAAATACACAGTAGTACGGAAACTGGACATAGTCACATTGAAATAAAAATTAACATCTGTTTGTCTCAAAACGAAACATTTATCCCCCAATCTGATTAAAATACAGATCTATATTTCGTTTTTTATACATGAAGATCTGACCAATTGTAGTGGGATGTCGCGTCAGAGGTCACACGGGCGCCTTTAGACCCAATGACGTCCAACATTTGATTAACCATTTGATGTTTCTAGTGGGTTACCCACAGTTCCGTGCACCTCACGCCAAAACTCGTCGTAACAGACCGTTTCATTGGCTTATCCTTCACATCATCCAGAACGCGGGTTATATAACAACTCTTTCAGATCCTAGTGTTGTAAAGACAAGTAAACGAAATTTTGAACACACAAAAGCGAAACGAAATAGGATATGTGTTTTAATCAGATTGATTAATCCCCATTATATTACACTAAATCCAAAGGGTAGACGTGAATAATGTGTTTTGATAATATGTTTTCCCCCAGGAGGCGATTAGTTATATTGAAATTATCAACAATATACAGAAAGTAAGGCTTGAAGTTTTACAAGAAGGAAAGAGAAACACAGCCACCAAGTAAGTTCTAGAACAAGCACAAGGAACTGACTATGATATGATCAGTCATCTTGGAATTACGCCGTTATATAAGAGTGTTAGGGGGATTGGCGGAGCCTTGTGCTTATTTTCGATGCATGTCACCCTCAAGACGAGTTGCGTTTGGGGACCACAGAGAGAGAGAGAGTGAGAGAGAGAATGAGAGAGAGAGAGCGAGCGAGAGAGAGAGAGAGAGAGAGGGAGAAGGGGGGGGGGGGTCAACTGCCACTCGACATAAACTAGGTCATTTTGGGTCTAACATATGGTTCAATTTTATTCTAGTAATCCGTTTGCGCGTAGGGCTCTTTAGCAGTGGGGGTAACCGGAAGGCCTGGATAAAACCCATGGGGTTGGACAGGCGACCCGACTCCTTGTCACGTACAACAGGGGGAATCAAAACCACGCCAATTGACTCAATGACAGACCTTTTTGCGTAGTTTTATTATATCCGTATTTCACAATTCACATTTGTTTCGTGTCTGTCTGGTATTTAGTGGTCAAATGTCGTAACAAATGTTCACTTATCATTTTCATATCATTCTTTTTTAGATTGATAGGAATTATAGAAAATATCAAACAGAAAGTTTCAACTAATACAGATTTTGACGGCGATGATGACCATGTAACAATAGTAACAGATAACACTATATTAGATGTGTGGAATCTGGGCTATATTAAAACCAATCCTGTCATCGGTTTGATGATGCAGAAAGGGAAGTCTGGTCCAATCAGAACAAACCATTTAACATCAATAGACGACCATAACCCATTGATTTTTAAAGGGACAACTGTTGGTATCACTTTAAATCACAACTTTGTAATGAAGGCTATTAATGGTATGTGTATATAGTTTTAGTTGGGGTGGGGTGGGGTGGGGCTTTCATTGTTAACCTTCTTATAAACCTCCAACGCCTTAAACCACACACCCTCGATTTGTCAACCTCACAAACCTTAAACCACACAATCTCAGAGACCTCAGACCAAACACCCTCTTCTAGTCAACCCTCTCCTTAAATCTCACACCTTCAGGTCCGTGGTTCGACCCTGGTGTTTTCCGTCGTTGTTTTCCCTTGTTCCGTCCGTGTACATCTTGGGCAACACTTTCCTCATAGGACACTACTTGACAAATTGTCATCTAAATTTTTCCAGCCGGAGAACAAAAGCAGGGCGTTACCGACCATTTCTTTCATTTATTATACTTCCATAGCTTTGGCAGCACAACCACATGTTACGACAGGTATTGTGGTCTAGGCAGGGTATAAACACCAGTGGCGTTGGCCAAAAGGTGAGGTGAGATAGTCTGTGATAGCTACATGTATTTGACATTTGAATGTAGTTTCGACTCTTTGTCCACACGTCTGTTTCATGTATTTGTGGTGGTTTGTTCAAGATTTGGTTAACAGTTTTGGTCTATTTCATAGAATATATTTTCTCTTTTTATTTTGTTTTAGAGAAAAATACAACTAATATTCGACTAGCAGTTCACGTGTTCACAGATCCTAGAATGTTTGTATCCGAAATAGCTTACACAGCCAACAGCCACGTTATATCGACATCTTTATTTATTGATAATATAGCAGTAAGGGATTTGCGTGATACTGCCGTCACCGTTGTTTTCCAACCACACAAAGTAAGTCCTGTGGCCATTCCTTTATAATTAATTATTCAAAAGTACTAAAGTAGCCCCCCCCATATGCTCAAGGCCCCATGGCCCCCACGATGGTTAATCCGGTGCTGAAGTGAGTTACTCGGTTTTGCCTTTGCTCACATCGCTTTTTGCGCAACTGAGACTTTTTGTGGGGCCCCTAATTTGAGGGTCCTAGGGTCTGGGCCCAACCGTGCTCCGTGGTTAATTCGGCGCTGACTAGCATTATTGTGTAACGGTGATGATATATTTTAACGGTTTTTAAAATCGGATAAAAATTGTGACATCTAAATTGGTTATAATTAGACTAGAACTTCCTATCGATACCACCTTTTAGTTGATCAATTATTTCCTTAGATTTTGTACAGTAAATATAGGCAGAAATACATTGTGTGTGCATTGTGGATGAATTCTACAAATAAATGGTCCGGTGATGGTTGTGTTTATTGGGATACAGCTGATGGTAGCGACATATGTAAATGTGACCGTCTAGGAAATTACGCCCTTCTTTTGGTAAGAATTGATTCTTGGTAAAAGTATTACAATCAATCATCATTAATCGGCTTTCGATCACATTAAATATGCATTATGTAAGATTTAGGTATAGAGCTGACCGTTCTTGCTATAATACTTCATAATGCAAACTGAGTATGTTGAAAATTTCATTCAAACTACTTTATTTTGAGCAAAGTTACCAGTGTTTGTAGTTTTGACAAGATGTGACATAGATTGTTTAACGGTAGTTGGTATTCGAGATTTAACTTCGATTCGCCATTTTAAATTAAATCATTAAATGGCGATCATATTTTAATTCGTTTAAATCAGCACCATCCGATAATCTAGATAGTTGATTATAGGCTTGTCGTGAACAAAGGTCTAAATAATAGTTTATATAACATTTGAAGCCAAAATAAAGAGTTGTAATATCTACTCTGACTGGCTTACAATCTGATTAAAATACAGATCTATATTTCGTTTCGTTTTTTTATACTTTCGATGGCCTACACTACCTGAAGATCTGACAAATTATAGCGATAGGTCACGTCAGGGGCCAAAAGAACGACTTATGACCCTATGACGTCAGGCATGTGATTAACCAATCAGCATTGGTGTTACTAGTGGTTTACCCACAGTTCCGTGAAAAACACGCCTAAAGCTCGCCGTAACAAACCGTTCTATTGGCTTATCCCTGACACTAGTTAAATAACAACTCTTCCAGATCCAAGTGTAGTAAAGACAAGTTACAGGAAATTTTGAATTATAAAAACGAAACGAAATAGGATCTGTGTTTTAACCAGGTTGACTGGCTTAATGAAGATGGGCATACGCCATACGATGTGCCATGAGGGAAATTTTGCCCGGAAAGCGGCGCTATGGCCTACTCTTATATCGAATTCCAACTACCAAGGATTCATTTTCTTGCACGTCAATATGTACACGAGACCCCGGTTTTCCGTTCCTTACCAGGCACCATTGACAAGGGCAAACCACATCGGAAATTTAATACCGATTTACTTTCTCGGCCATCGCAGGGATCGAACAAGGGACCCCCAGGTCAGCGAGCTAACGTCTTACTCAATTAGCTACCATGGTCCCATGAAATTGACAGATTTGGCGCTTACATAATGCATCTTTAATGAATTGATTAAACGTTGACATACGACCAATTCACTTCCCATTAGACGATCCCAAATATTTTCTTTTACGTGGATTGAAAAGACAGACGCTCTGATATTATGGAATGTAACGTCACGCCACGTGTTATGATAACTTCTACCTTGTATCAATGACTTATTATAGACAGTTTAACAATGTTAGCCCCTTTTACACGAAACCCCCTCAAATATTATCCCATATTCATCTCTAACAAACTTCTTTTACACACTTTTTTATGGCAAGGGTTGGGGGCGTTTGGAAAAGTGGACAATGAAAAATTTATGAAATATTTTCTTTTTATTTCGCTGGAACAATAATAGTTTATCCTATCATCTTGTAAGATGTGGGGAAAATATATTCTACAAAATATTATTCTGTGGTGTTTTTAACTAGAGTTCCACAATATTGGACTTTAAAAAAAATTCTTCTCAGACCTCCCTATATGCCTGTGTGGTACCACATTCCACAAAAGTTTTGACTTATTATATTATTGATAACTAATTCTATACTCTGTGTATATAAATTGAGAATTAATTTTATACTCTGTGTATATAAATGGAGAATTAATTTTATACGATGTGTATATAAAATGTTTATCGGAGATAACATGACCTAGGCGTATAATGTATTATCATATTGGTACGTTATTCCAGGATAAATTAGGAGAAGACCTCGTTACGACACCTGATCGAAAGCTTACCCTGAATATAGTCACAATCATAGGAATGCATATTTCCTGGATATGTGCCGTGATTGTAATATTTTCTTTCCCTATCTTCAAGTAGGTAACATTTAATTTTTTGTTATTCATCTTTCATTTGATCCAACACTATCAATTCTATAGACGGACCCTTTGTCGGTCATGCAGGACGAAGTGCCACACAAGGACAGCTGCTGTCTAGCCGTTCGGGTGGGACGAAAAACCGAGGTCCGGTGTACACATTGGCGTGCACGTAAAAGATCTCTTGACAGTTGGAATTTGATATAAGAGTCGATCGTAGTGCCGCTGTCTGGGCAAAATTTCCCACATAGCACACTGTAGGACGTTAAACCCCATTTCATTTCATTTAAAATACACCATGATGCTAGGTTCCCATGCGATGCGTTACGATACGACTGTTCCTATTGAGTCCACGATCTGCTACGTGCAAATACGTTCAGATACGTATCGATACGATTAACACGATTGCTACGATTGACCTCAATATATGATAAGACCTGATACGATCAACACGATAAATCCTAGATTAAAACCACGATTTCAATTGTTCCCACGAATCGTGATAGTGGGAACCTAGCATTATTCACTATCGCTACACTCTATGAAAACGCTACCAAAACTGAAAACATCATCAATACACCATCATGATATTAGTGATTAATAATATACCTACTACTTTAATGTTGCAGAAAACTACGAGAATCTGTCAGATTTTGTTTATTATGTCCTTACGTGTTCACAATTGGTTTTTGGGGTGTTATTCTCACGAAATGCAGCCCTGAATGTGGTGCGGCTGAATTCCTTCTTGGGTATTATTTCGTATCCTCCAGTCAGTGGCCTTTCTCGAATGTAGTTTTGTATCATATGCTGTTCCATAAAGACTGCCAATTAACCGAAAAGCTAATAATCCCAGGTAGGTAAATGTTTTAGTATTAGTAATACAGTGTATATATTGCACTAGTAAAAGATAGTTAATCCCCCATTTGCTGGGATTGTTGTCTATCCTTATAGTTACGACGGTATCAGACATATTTTATTTATATTGGTTGGAATGGTATTTGTATCTAGCGGATATTGAGAGGTATTTTGATGACACCAGAGTGTTGCGCTTCGAGTTCACCAGCCCCGTTTCGTTCCTAAGTCTGAGCATATGTGGCATGGAGAAAGGGATGCCTTCTAAACCTCGATCCCTGCGCCGAATATAATAGAATAAGAGCACTTGTCCCGTTAAACCATATGAACAGCAACAGTAAACCCTATTTTATTTAATTTCATTTCATTTCACCTATGAGTGATGTTATAAACTTCCATTCCAGAAATTATACCGATTTCAAAATTTGTGATGTCTCCCATTTTTTTAGAGTGACCTTTTTATGAGCTGGTTTATTTAACTGTACAAAGGATTTTATTTTATTGGCAGTAATTTCAAATGTGAGTCAGGTTCTGATAACAATAATTAAGTAGTTTCTTCGTACTGGATGAAAATACTGGATGAAAATACTAAAAATTTTAGCATGGCTAAATAGTTATTATATATCACGTTTTGTTTTATTAAATATCAAAGAACAATAATATTTATAATTTTGTCTATTTTGTAGTGGTATTTATGTCCGTAACCTACATAACTTTTGCTGTGTTTAATTATTCCCCACCGAATTATCATTTCACAAGGTGAGTACACATTTAACTCCTGACATCGCACGTCCCTACCCGAGTGGCATATATCCATGGAGCTATGGATTCATTAAGATAATGTTCTTTTTAATAAAAATCGGATATAAGCGAATATGTAAATAATTTTTGCGCGCCGGTGCGGGTGGATTATGTCGTCACTCATGTCCGTAGGTCCGTCAACGACTGGCATGTTTACACGATAGAGGCCATGTTTACACGATAGAGGCTATAGTTTTTTCAACATATTTTTAAAGCACTGGGGCTATGGGAGGTCTGTGACCTTTCATTCCGGAGTTACTTCCCCCTTCAACTATTTGTTTTTTAAAATCATACTTAAGTGTTTAACGGATAGAAACAATAGTTGTGATACTGGGTGTTCCAGTATTTCAATCAACATGGTGTGATCGCCCGGAACATAATGGTATGATACAGCGCAGCTACAAGGTTTACAAAGCATAGGCACTGAGAGAGAGAGAGAGAGAGAGAGAGAGAGAGAGAGGGGGTGATCCGTGTCAATTCAGGTGGACTAACATTATTCAATTTGTTTTCAATAGTTCGCGGGAACCCACGAGATTGGACAGACGACCTTCTACTTGTCAAAATGTCTTTGTGTTAACAATCCGAGGTCGCGTGTACACATTTGTGTGTACGCACGAGAACCCCCAGTAGTTGCAATTCGAAGTAAGAGTAGACTGTAGCTGTCAGTCTTCTTTAGCCCAGTGGGAGCAGAAAAGCAGGACGTGAAACCCCATTTAATTTCATTTAATAATTAGTTTATCTTACAGAACCAACCAGGTTTATGTTTTATTTCAGTGCCCAGAACGAACATGGTGCCGCTGTATTGTGTAGTAGCTTGTTCATATGGCTTTGCTGTATAGCTGATACCGACAAATGCTCCTTAAGTTCAACACGAAGAAAAAAACAAGGATACGTGTTTTTGTTGCTGTTGTTTGGTAAAGTATCGCATATATTTTCTATGTATAAAATTTCTCTATGCTTCATTTTCTTTTTCAAACTAAAAGGAGCTGTTCTTTCAAAGAATGTTCGCGCAGACATTAAGTTGTATCAAATTTTGCCTAAAGTAAATTTGTTGTTAACCCTTTCAAATATTTTAACATGTTTTACAATCTTGGGAACACTGAACGAACTCTTTTCGTATTTTTGCCCCCCCCCCACCATCCAATTTAGAAATTATTAATCGGATACGCGAATGTTTTTTTTTTCAGTTGCTAACTTTACACTAGCTCACCTAATGCTGGCCTATGGTAGTCAGGCATTACAGATCGTCTTCAATCTCGTCAACATTCTACAGACTTTATTTCTCTTTATCGTCTTCATTGTTGGAATTAAGGATCCCAAGAACAAGCATTATATTGATGTGACCGATAAAAAACCACTGACAGCGATAGCGATGACAGAACAGTCCCAAAAACTCTTGTCGGTGGCGTTAAAGAACCATTTGTAAAAAAAAAAAACCAAAAAAAAAACCGGCTGAGATAGAACCCTTGTGTGAATTTGGTTTACTGAATTTATTGAAATTATCATTCAAATTACTTTATTCTCGGCGAAGGTAAGATGTAGCGTAGATTATCTCGTTGGTGTTATAATCCATTTATAGATTGTTTCTATAAGGGAATTTATTCAGTATATTTAGTAGCCATAATATTATTTTAATCTTGTACATATACTAGTATAACATTCAATGATTTCCATTTCTACCCTCATCGAGCCCACGGATGGTGCTTCGGGTGTGTTAGATTTCTTTTTCAAAGCAATGTGATCATCCAGTAGGATGACGAAGCTGTAACAGAAACTCTGCTATTTTGAATTATGTTTTTTGTTCTGTGCTTTTGTTGGGTAGTTAAGTGCTGTATCTTCTGTTAAGAAACTATGCGCCTGCATAAATTTCAACACTATTCGGTATCTATAATGTTTAGTGTGTGCGTGTGGGGGGGGGGGGGGTATCCACCACGCTTTGCTAATATGTTAACCCCCTAAAAATTATCATATTATTTATTTATGTTACTAATTGCCCCAATCACTTTGTATTGTAACAACATAGGTCATATGGTTTCTTTTTATAGGACTATAAATGTGACTCTAGGACTATAAATGTGACTCTAGGACTATAAATGTGACACTATCCTCTATCGCGGTACCAAAAAAAGCACCAAAGAGAGACAACTGTGACACTATGGGGTAGATGTGACTATCTTTCGTCTATGAATTTCTTCGACTTCACGTTGTTAATCATCAATGAACTGACTCTGGAACACCGTTTATGTTATTACTAAGTTTATATAATTAAACAAATACGGCAAAATACAAAGTTAAATCCAGGAAACTACAACATCTATTATAGAAACTTTAGGCGTTATTAAAATATCTACGGTCTGAGTTTAGCATCCTTTACAACTCAGACCTAACGGGTTAAATACTACATTGTCTCTATCCCAGCCTCTCAGCCGAGGCGACTGATCGGTATGTTCCCCTTGAGCTCCGAATAAAGTCTTCCCTACGGTCTCATCATGATATCTCAGTAAATCAATCCAGCTCTCTCCTATATATAAAATACATTGCGTCATCTATTAGGGCGGGACAATTACCGTTTTAGGGTAAGTGTTTCGTATGGGCACCGTTTTACGTCAACAATATTCTAGTTAATTGTACTAATCCATGCACAGATGACTGGACTATAGTGCTCTACTTCCAGCAATGGATACTGACATAACTGTCGGTGAGCTAGTCTAAGATAGTAGTAGCATAATGCACGCTACTTCATTACCCTAGTTTTCGTCACACTTCACGTAGGTAAAGAATTTCTATATTAAACAGAACACCTTCCTTATAACTAAAATAAACCCTATAGTATTACAAACATATTACCTTTTAGTTTACTAATGATCATAAAAGAACACTTGTCAAAACGTCGTGCTATATGTGTGTATAAACCCGTGATTGTTTTACATATAAATTGCGTTGTATTTTTGTTATGTGTCCAATCACTAACTGCCATTCAAGGATTGTATCCCAAGATGTTTAAATGATCTGCCACATGGAGAAGTGATAGAATGGGTGGTTGAGTTTAACTGATGCGAAAATAGGCATTGTAGCTATTGTTCAACAAAATTTGGTCGGCATGTAATTTGGGCTGTGCTTATTCAGAAGATATACCACAGAAGTTTACGCATTTGTAGGAATGTTGGCTTTGAGTTTTCTATAAAATCCATGAATATTCCAGGGACATCCACACGATCATCGACCGCCCAGGATTTACAAAATATAAAACCTTTGCTGACAAAAACTATGGAATTAACTACCGCGAAATCTAAAAGAGTGTCCTTCTTTGGAAAGAACATTCTGCAAATAACAATTTTTATGTGTTTATTTAATTTAATTTATATGTGGTGTGTATATATATATTGTTCATGATGTAAAGCGCCATTGAATACATCAAAAATGTAATAATGAGCGTTATATCAAATTCAATAAACATAAACATAATATTTCTTTTTTCCCTTTTTATTTTCGGTCGGTTGTTTACCATAATCCATCTTATAGGGGACAAATGTCAGACCCACTTTGCATGTACGCGTCTCCGCCTGTTGAAAAGCGCACTTATCCCGCGTGTAATTCTTTTTCTTTGTATTTCCATGTAAACAGGATTTCTCTTTACAGCTTGGGGGGGGGGGGCGAATGGTTAGCACGTGTGCGCTGTATCATACGGTCTGTCATTGAGTCAACTGGCGGGGTTTCGATTCCCCGGTTGTACGTGACAAGGAGTAGGTTCGCCTGTCCAACCTCGTGGGTTTTCTCCGGGTCCTCCGATTTCCTCCCACTGCTAAGACCTTTACGCGCAAGCGAATTATTTAAATAAAATTGAACCATGTGTTAGTCCCAAAATGACCTAGTTTGTGTCGAGTGGACGTTAAATCCCATTTCTCGCTCTCTTTACAGTTTGGAGCCCGACATTTCAAAAGTAAGTAAAACGATAACAAATATTATAAGCAAAATATAAATTGACACTGAAAAAATGTGGGTTGTTATATATAGGATACTGCTATCAATTGACAAATACTTAGTCATATGCGCTTTCAGAAAAACATACTTATTCATACGCGCTATTTTGATACAAAAAGTCGGTTACCAAATTCTTTTAGCCAGGTTCCTTTTGGTTTGTTGCCCTGATTGAAATCGGGAAACTTCATTGGTCGAAGGTGTTGTAATATCGGAGAAACGTGACAACCGTTTACAACCAATGGAATTACTACAGGTCGATCTCTAGGAATGGCGTCAATGGGATAGTTGGTCAATAGGTGCTCGTCGTTGTTTTTCAGAATACAGATTACAACAACATTACCAGATAAAGCTGAGGTTAAGGCATCAGTCCTACTTTGAAACGTGAAGATGTCTTCGTCATTTTTGACCACGTTCAGACCGATTTCAGTTAAACAATTCTCAATGACATCGGCTTCTACAGCTGAAGTTGTGGCGTCATAAATAATTCGAACGTGTGAATTGGCTTCCTCAACGTAGTAGGAACTATCCAAAGCACGCTTGAAGCAGGTTTTTACCAGGTCTGTTTGGTCTATCTGATCAGCCGTTTGTTCAACAATGTCCATCATAACTCCAACAGCTATCTTCTCTATATCTGGTATATCTGTTACCATGAGTATGGTTGCTAGATCCAAGCAGTCGTAATATTTCTTCCATTCCAGATAATTATAGATCAAAGTTTTAAATGCGCCATTGACATCAGAACTTGAACATGCTTTATTGATATCTCTTTTGAAAACCAGGCCTCTATTGTAAAATCGTACAATGCGTTTAACCTGGTCAAAACTAGAATAAAAGTTCCAGATCTATCATCACGAAACAAATCTTTCACAGGAACCTTATGACGTTTACCAGTACTAGATTCTGTAAGATATTCCATAACAACATTTACAATACTTTCTCGTTTACAATGATTAGCCTCCTCAAAGTTTCTTATTTCAATATAGCATTTCCCTGCCCTCTCATTGCCATGCCCTTTCCACATACAGTCGGAATCATCGATAAGAACTTTGAAGCATTCTAGGGCGTCGTCGTACTTAGCGGGTAATAGCTGTGAATATACCTTGCCTAATTCTTCAATTGTGGCGAGATTTGTTCCTTTACTTAGTCTTACAGATTGTTGTAGTAAGTCTATAGCCAATTGGTTGAAGTTTTCTACTTGTAGTTTTCGTAATACCAAAGCTAGATTGTGACAATTCACAGAAGTTGGTTTAATTTTTATAGACGATTCTAAAACATTTTTTGCTGCCTCGAACCTTTTCATTGTCCTATACATTCTACCAGTTTCGTATAATATAGTTGAATTTTGTGGCGCCTCGTCGTTTGCTTATCTAAATATCCATTTGTTTTCTCCAAAACGGCGCTTGGTTTTAGGCCCATCTCCCTAAAGTTGACCTTCAGAGCACACGTCCCATAATGTAAGGTTGCTAAACCTATATATGATAAACCTCTTAACACTGGGTCCTGGCAATCCTTAATAATGCTTTCGAACAGACCTTTCGCCCTATGAAAGTTTGCCAAGGGATCGTTTGTAGACAACATGTGTATAACATGTGGATGTTGATATCTACGTATAGTTAGGGCCATTCGATATCTCCATTCATATTTTTCAGGATATTTTTGAATAACGTCATCATACAATTCAATCGATGCATTATAATATACTGGTCCCGCTCTAGAGTAAACATAAGCTTTTTCTGCTTTAGCTTCGGCCATTAAATAATCATCTTCACTTAATTCTTTAAGTTCTTTGAATGTTTCTTCTGCCTCCGTGATTCTGCCTCGTTGACCACAAAGAACAGCTTTCATCACATTTGCTTGAATATTAGCCGGGCTACTTTGCAAAACCAACGTATTTTTAGCTTCACAATCGTCAAGGTCTTGAAACAAGAAAGCAAGGAATGATGCTAGATTATTAATTTCCGTAGCAGCGTATTCGTCTTCATCGGATTGTGTTATTTTCGCTTGAATGCCTTTGAGTTTTGCAGTCGATATGCTTGCAATATTCAAAGTGAAAAAAACTGGGAATGAAATTTAAACGTTCAAAAAATGCACCAAGATCCATTTTATTTTTCTGCTTAGATTTATGTCCTATCAACCTGAAATACACAAAAAATAAAACCCTTTAGTCGCCTTTCTCGGAAATCCGGTAAACATGTGAACTTATCATAACCAGATAAAATAAAGCTATTTATCTGTAACATTCTCCGCATTCACATGATATTCGTATAAAAATCGCCTGCTAGAACTGGATATAGAATTGACCTTATTGTTTTCAACACTACGAACAATTCCTAACCGAATATTGTATGCCAATAGTTAGTTTGTATGGTATAATTAAAATCAGCCATTTCAGAATCATGTTAGTGTGAATTTAGAATTTGACAACCCAACAGTGCGGAATACAACCGATCATTTCATTGGGTAATTTAGATAGACAAAGATACATATGACACCATGTGGTGCGCGATTGAGACACAACAGGCCACGTTTAGTCCAGATTACAACATGGCTGCATTAGGCTTCTATTATTTCGTAGTCAGAGGTAATTAACGATCATGCATTTCGCATGGAAGCCCATTGTGTCCATGCTATAATCGCGTGCGAGAAGTTGTGTGCTAGAGAGTCGAGGGTGAAGGAGCGAGAACACGAGATTATTTTCTTTACGGAATACACTAAATGTTTTTCTTGGTCACACCCCAATATCAAATCTCCCTGACGTTTCCCCTAAAACCTAGAGCCACGACGGTTCAGTGAGTTGGAAGCTAGCCCACTAACCAGGAGATCTCGACAATGGCAAAGAATTTACCTCGGAACTTTCCAGTGTGATTCGCCGAGATCCAGTTTAGACGTTGGCGTGCGCGTAATAGAACCTTTGACACTTGATATTCTAAATAAGAGTTAGCCGTAAGGCCGCTGTCGGAATAAAACAGACCACGTTTAGTCCAGATAACAACATGCTGAAGTCACGTCATCTTTTTCTAAGATCGCTATTAAACATACATTATGCTAGAGCTAAATCTATCTGCCGATCTATATTGCAGTTCTCTTCCTCCCCTGCTCCATCTCAACTAATCCGAAGTCACCTCGACTTATCACCAGCCTTCTCAAGCTCAAATTGTCGTATCTAACTACGGCAATCAATTCTTAATGCCAACATCCTAAACGTTAAATCTTTCGTGCCAAATATACTCTCATAATGCAACGAGGACTTATAAAACTCCTTTCCACGTGGTAAATCAACCCAATCTTTAATAACAGATATAAAATTGTAACCATTCGGACAAATCAACGGCCAAAAACTTGCTGACTTCCATAACGGAATAATTACTGTGCCATAAGCTTTACATTCAACCACATATTTCATGACACGTGATATCAGACACACAGGTGGTACAATAAAACAGTTTCTACCCTGCCATGGTAAAGAAAAGGCATCTATTCCTGAAGAATTTGGACTCCAATATCTGGAATAAAATACATCACACTTATGATTATGTTCTGATGCAAATATATCAATTTCGTATGGTCCCCATATATTACTAATATATTTAAAAATTCCATCTCCAACTGCCCAATCATCATAATCAACAATTCTGCTTAAACAATCTGCTCTAACATTCCCAGCTCTAGGTATCCATTCTATCTCTAGAATAATTCCATTTTCTAAGCAAATGCTAAATATCTCAAATGCAATACATTGCAATTCTGCCTTCATACTACCTTTCTGAACAATAGAAATCACACTCTGATTATCTGAAAACCATTTCAACCTTTTATTTTTTAAAATATGTACTATAGATTTAAGAATACAACGAACAGCTTCAAGTTCTCTCCAAGTAGAACTCTTGATCGCTTCCTCAGCACTCCAAAAACCATGAACAACATCACGATAGGCTTGTACACAATACCCCCCATACCCTTCATTACTAGCATCTGAATACACTATTCGTTCACAGCCAGGCTGAAAATTTAAAACTTTAGAATTAATTTTACTTATATTTTCCTTCCAAAAAAATAACTGTTGAATACTCTGTTCAGAAATACGTACTTTAGAATCCCAACTAAACCCATTTAAAATATCAATAGACAATGATCGTGTCATGATTTGGGAAATACTTCCGACAACAATAGACATAGATATAATCTGGCCGACAACACTCGCTACCTTTTTCACAGCTACTGCCTTATTCGATATACAATCACGCTGAATTTGAACTATAGATCGTAAGACTTTATCTAATCGTCTCTGTGGAATTCTCAAATTTGCATTTTCAGAATTTATCACCACTCCTAACCATATTAACTCTTGTACAGGCTCCCAAGTTGACTTCTCATTTTTAGGAACAAACCCACTAGCTAAAAGATCTTTCTTAACATCT